GTTAAATCCCACAAGAGTAGGGTCTGGGGAGGGTGTGTGTACGCAGACCTTACTCTTACCCCTACTCGAAAGTAGAGAGGCTGTTTCCAAAGAGACCCCCGGCTCAACGTTGAAAGTTGCATTGCTTGACTAATTATTGCTACTTCATTAATAAGAAGTAAATGGTATACATCCTTTATATATAAACTAGAGACTCCAACACATAAGAGCTTGACATATGGCATGATATGGTATACATGTGTAATAATATGGGCATATTATATAGCATTTAACTTAAGAATTAGACTTCATTCAATAATACTCGGCATGGAATTAAACTTTTACTTTTCATCAAAATTAAAATTATTAAAAAATAAAACTTTCAATAAATCCTATATATAAAAAGATGAAACTTTATTGCTAGAAAGTTGACACCTAATATGTAGCTTTTTTACACCTAATACGTCACCTAATTTATGACATATAAAATGTGAAATAAATATTTTTCTATGAAATCTTTGAATAAATTTAATTATGACATAATGATATTCATTTTTATAATAATATTTTTTCCTAATTCAATATTTTCTATTTCATCATATATAACAAAACTTTCTATTAATTAATCTGCTACTCTCTTCACCTCCAAATAAGTTTCATATGACTATTTGTTTTTGGTAAGTTTAAGTGAAGTTAGATTTGAATCTATTTCTTTCAATATTGATATAAAATAAAAAATAAGCAATATATTTAAAAAAAATACATTAAATTTTTTTTAAAAACAAGAGATGATTGAAGTATAATAATTTTCAAGTTGAAAAAAAATCCTATACATAATTTGGTAATTATTTATATTAATTTTATGATTTTATTTAATTACTAGAAATTTATGGTTTATAGGTTTAGATGCTTTATGATCTAAATATAAAATTATATTATTTTTAATTATCTATTACGATATGATACTTAATTTAATTTAATTATATAATGTAATTGACCAAAATAAATGTTTAAGCTAACATTCTTTACAATTTCAACATCATTAACTAACATTAATTATCGAATAGAGATTTTTTTATATTCGAATATTTATTATATTTAATATTTTTCCCATTTCATTTATAATAAAATTTTCAATTAAACAAATAAAATTTCCTTCCTTAAAAAAGATATACTCTCTTCACCTCAAAATACATTTTTTTAATGATACGCTTGAATGAAGTTAAATTTTATTTTATTTATTTAAATGTAAAACAATAAAATAAAACTATTTTGGTATATTTTAATCTCTAAATTAATATTCTATAAAATAAGATGCACATAGATTATTTTTTAAATGATCAACTATTTAAATAAAATAAATTAAAAAAGAATACTTTTGCGGACTTGAATGATTTCTTATTCAAACATAAAGGAAAAAAGGAATACTTTCACGGGTTTGAATACTTTCATAAGATTGCTAATGTTGTTGTTTTGTGTGAATTAATGCATTAGAGAAGAATTATTGAAATTTTAATATTTTTGATTTATTGTTTTGAATCATACAACAATGCCTAAAATGAAAAGGTAGTTTTTATTATATATATATAAAGATGAGTATAAAATGCATGGTACATATACAACACTCTAGATTTGGGATATGTGTTGAAGTAATTTAGTGGCATCTTAACCTTTTTTTTGCAAAACGTATCATTTTCCCAAAAGATCTAAAGAGTTTGTGTTTAATTGAGATTGAAAAGTAACTTAATTCAAATACACGATTCCTAAAAGAGTTTAGTGGTATGCCATTCCGATATGACAACCCACTTAATAGATATCAAAATAAATTCTTGGTAAAGGAGTTGAAGTATGATAAAGAAACTTGTCATCTCATCTTAAACAATATTTATTTACAATGAATGAATACCGTACTAGAGGAAGATATGCGACGAGATAATGGAAATAACTTCCTCCTTCTCAAAGATCGAAAGATAAAGTTGTTTTGAACGTTGCATCAATGATATTGTAGTGAGTAATATTGAAATTCCATCCGAATTCTTGGAAACGCAAGCTTTTTCTAATTGGATAATCAAAGTCGGAGATGGAATGCTTGGTCAGGTGATTGATGGAGTTAGTGATATTGTAATTGCATCTGAATTCTTAATTCTTGACACAAGTTCTCATATCAAAAGTATAGTGGACTTCATCACTTATCCAAATACATTAGAGAATATGAATAATTATTCTTTTTTTGAGGACATGGCACTATTAGACCAATTCTTATAGTAGTTGAATTGATAAATGAATTTGTCATGTCCCACATTCCTGGTGATGAAAATGAGTACTTGAGTTCTCATTATTCATGTCAAACACATGCATATGCAGGTATTGACGACGGTTGGAGAACAGTTGAGTTTTTGAATGAAAACAAAAGCTCGGGAATCCCAAACCACAAAACAGTTTTGAAAAAAGGGCATCGATTATGTTATAAAGGAACATTGACCAAACATCTGGATTGTGTATTGGGAAATAAGGTTATCGATACAATTGTGGTTTCATGCAATCGAGTCGGGAAAAAGGTTTATATACCTAGAATAAATTTGGTATCACCTAATCTAATATTATCCTCGAAGTTCCAGAGAAGACATTTCCCTATAGTTTTATGTTTTTCCATGACTATGATAAAAAATCAAGGTCAAACACTGTTATTTGTTGGATTATTTTTAATCAGGTTGAAGTTCACTCAGAGTCAACTTTTTGTTGCTGACAAGGTTAATAATATTAGTTCTAAATGATAATAATGAAAAACCTTACAACCACACTTAAAATAGTGTATACCCCGAAGGCTTTCAAAAATGTGGATTTAAAAAAGAGTTTGAGGTGTACACTTTTGAGTTTATATATAAGCATTTTCATAACGAGATATGAAATGCTAAATTATTTGTTCAACTTTTATTTTAATGTTTATAGTGTTAAAGAACACATTACATATATTTTAAATAATCAATTTAAAAATATTAAGTTGAAGGTAATTCAATTAAAATACTAGTAACTTAATGTTTGGCATGATATTTAACGTGTTTTTTATATACATCGCGCTATATTGACAAGACTGATCCTAAATCTTTGTGGTTGATGTGTAAAAGGGGAAGGTTCAAGTGACATTGAACCTTAACGTCATAGGATGACCCGTGGGCGCTCCGGTGCCCCGTTTGTAAAATTGACGGTTCCTACCCCCTAACCCCCGGTAAACCCCCCCACCCAGCCCCGGCCCGAACACACCTCCCACCCCCTTCAATTGCACCCCACAAGTTGATTTTGACTTTGGAGTCAAAATTTGACTCCAAAGTCAAAATTTGACTCCAAAGTCAAAATCAACTTGTGGGGTGCAATTGAAGGGGGTGGGGGGTTGTGTTCGGGCCGGGGCCGGGTGGGGAGGTTTACCGGGGGGTTAGAGGGGGTAGAAACCGTCAATTTTACGAACGGGGCACCGGAGCGCCCCCGGGTTATCCCATGTCATCAAGGTTCAATGTCACTTGAACCTTGGTGTGTGTAAAAATAAATATTAATCCGTACTCCGTATAAGCTTTTACAATTTATAGATCATTCTCATATATACTAAAATACAAAGATAGAAAGAGATTTCATCGACAACACATAATAAAATAAAATACAAAGTAACGCCCTGAAAACCGGCTTAGTAGTTAGCGGTTATTTTAATATAAAAAAATAAACATATTATCTTCTGACTCAAAAGTATGAACTACCGCGTGAGAGAATGAGCAGAACCGAGAAATAGCACCGACACCAGAGAGAGACCGGCGTCTCTCGCCACTTGCATCACTGGAAAATAACCTTGCATCACCGTTCTCTTCGTCGGTGATTCGGCTCATTTGATTTGTTTTAATATGTCGCTTAATCGAGGTGAGTAGGTGGACATCTAATGCTAGATTATGTATGTAGGTTTAAAATTCACATTCATAGTTTTGTAGGTTTGGCCACCTTTTCACGAGATCAACCAAATTACCTTACTTTTGAATCATAATATTGACTTTAGAAATAATTTATATTTTTTAGTCAAAAAATAGAATTAAGCCTGTAAATGGATAGTCGAAAATCCGATTACCGTCCGCATCTGTATTCGTTTAAAAAGAAAAAATCTGTATCCGTTTTAAACGGATATTATCCGCATCCGATCCGGGATAGCCGATTACTAAACGGATGCGGATTTGGTATTTATGAATCCGATCCGTTTAAAATCTGATCCGCATGGACATCCGTTTCAACAACCGTTACCGTTTATCCGAATAACCGTTTATCCGAATCCCAAATAAAAATAAGTATAATAAATATAATCTTGTTATGTATTTAATATTTGCTCCAATTACCTATCCAATAAAGTTTGGCTACCAATAAAGTTGGGCTATTGACCCAATGTGAGTAAATAACAAATTCACAATTCACAAATCTAACCCTACCCCAACAATTCAACAAACCCGTAGGCAAGAAAAAGTTACTCCCGCAGTCCCGCAGCCGCAGCTCGTCCCCCACGAATTGAATCGGAGAATCTCAAAGCATCATCATCTAATCGCTGTTCCAAGGAATCGTTGAATCGCTGCTCGGCCATCTCCTCAGCGTTTCCTCCGACGAGCGACAGCCTCGTTTTGTCTCAGGTATGCCTCCATTCTAGCATTTAATTATATATTTATATTTAATTTATATATACATTTATTGATATACAACGTCGTTTGTATTGATATTGCCTCCATTCTAGTGATAGCCTCGTTTGTACCAGTAGCCAGTAGGTGTTTTTTCATTTTTGGATTAAGTTCATTAGTTTCATTTTGGACATGGTTTATTCTTTGCCTATTGTACCCGTAGGTGTTTTTTCTTCATAATTGGTAATACACCTAAATGATAGCCTAGAACACCCTTTAATGGTACAACATAGCATTTTAATATCCCATTAAAAAATGTATGCCACTCTTATGTTGTCTAATCATCCTTTTCTGTCATTTTTATATGTTTGATTTTTTTTGTAGACAAATGGCAGACCAAACTCAACAAAGCATCGGTGCTTCTTCACAATCAACTGCAAACACTAATGCTATTACCTCCGAAGCAGTTGTTCCAGACCAAGGTGCAGAACTCAATGCTAAAAAAAGAAAGCTGACTTCTCGGGTTTGGGATTATTATGACAGGGAGTGTCTTGGAGCCGGTAAAGTTATTGCAACTTGCTTGGGATGTAAACGAAAATTCGATGGATCAAGTAAGGCTGGTACTACTCACTTGAAAAATCATAATGATGTTTGCCCTCTTTCTAAGAAATCGGTTGATATTAGACAAGCTTTTATTGGAAAATCTATAGATAATGTCAACCCATCCAATAAGATTAAAACACACAAGTTTGATCCATCGGTTGAAAGAGCTTTGTTTGCTAAAATGATAGCCAAACATGATTTTCCTTTTCTTATGTCCCAGTATGAATACTTTAGACATTGGATTTCATATTACATGCCATCTTATAAATTTCGCTCAAGGAACACTGTGAAAAATGATTTGATGGGTGTTTACAATGAAGAAAAGGGATTTCTGGTAAATGTTCTTGGAAAGTTAAATTCACGAGTTACTCTTACAACTGATGGCTGGACATCGGATCATCAAAACCGTGGATACTTTTGTGTGACTTGTCATTACATTGATGTTGATTGGATATTGCAAAGTAAATTACTCGCTTTTCATGTTGTTGAATATCCACATAATGGGTTGCGTTTGTGTGATTGGTTGAAAAATCGTATTCTTGAGTGGAATATTGATGAGAAGTTATTTTCTGTTGTCGTGGATAATGCCTCACAAAATTTTGGCATGTTGGATGACATTAGGGATTAGTTGAATAGGAAGGGTGCACTTGTTGGTCATGGTGAGATGTTTCATATTCGATGCTCTGCTCACATTATGAATTTAATTGTGAAAAAAGGAATGGATGTGATTCAAGAATTAATTGGAAAAATTCGTGATAGTGTAAAATATGTGAATGGGTCAGTACAAAGAGAAGAAAAATTTCATCTTGCCTTGGTTCAGACTCGACTAAATCCAAAGAGACGAGTAAGTTTGGAGTGCGATACTAGGTGGAATTCAACATATGATATGGTTATGAATGCCCTTGACCTCAAAGAAGCATTTAAGCGTTTGGCTGAATTAGATAGTAATTACACTTACTTGCCATCCAAAGAAGAGTGGGAAATTGGTGCTAAGATTTGTAAGCATTTGAAAATTTGAAAATTTTTAAAAATGCAACTGAAGCACTTTCAGGGAGTAAGTATCCAACAACCCCTCTTTACTTCACTTTTGTTTGTCAAATAAGGGAATGCTTGAAAGAGTGGTGTAAGAGTATTGATCCTGATATTTCAACAATGGCACTTCTTATGCAAACAAAGTTCGATAAATATTGGGATGAGTGTAGTATGGTTTTGACAATTGCTTCAATTCTTGATCCTAGATATAAATTGACACTTGTTAAAGCTGCTTTTGGGAGTAATGATGATGTTAATCCAAATAATTTTGTAAGTGGAGTGCAAGCTTTTTGGAAAGATTTGTTTGTGGAGTATGATGATCAAGTTACATCTGTTGATGTGGGTATTTCTATGTCTGATTCTTCTCGTCGCATTGAGAGCTTGTCAAATGATGAGATTGAGTGCTCTCTTTTAGCTAGGTTCAGGGAACTTGCTGCTCAGTCTAGTGCCACTTCCATTACTAAAAAAAGTGAGATTGATTTGTATCTTGAGGAGGGATTAGTGTATGAACAAGACAATGCATTTGATGTTTTGAATTGGTGGAAGCATAATGGCGGTAGGTACCCGATTCTTTCAAAAATGGCTCGTGATATATTAGCAATTCCATGCACAACTGTGCCTTCTGAGTCTACTTTTAGTCGTGCTCGTAGAGTTATTGAGGATACACGTGCTTCACTTAACTCGGACACAATTGAGGCTTTACTTTGTGTGAAAGATTGGTTGCCTACTATTGAAGGAGAAGGTTAGTATCATCACTTTTTCTTTAATAAATACTATTTATAAGAGAACTATATATATATATATATATATATATATATATATATATATATATATATATATATATATATATATATATATGTATGTATGTATGTATGTATGTATGTATGTATGTATATTTTTTCTTTTGTAATGCAATACATATTACATATTCACTTTTAATCTTATAGATGTTGAGTGAAGGCAAATCATTGAACTTTGGAGCATGAATAACTTATGACGGTAAACTTCTATTACTATGCTTAATTGTTTGTGTGGTCCTAATATATTCATTTATTAAATATGTAATTCTATTTTAGTTTAATGAACTAATTCTGTGTANTTCTTTTGTAATGCAATACATATTACATATTCACTTTTAATCTTATAGATGTTGAGTGAAGGCAAATCATTGAACTTTGGAGCATGAATAACTTATGACGGTAAACTTCTATTACTATGCTTAATTGTTTGTGTGGTCCTAATATATTCATTTATTAAATATGTAATTCTATTTTAGTTTAATGAACTAATTCTGTGTACAGGTTGAAGATTGAAGACGTTTTTGCTAATGGGTTTCTTCACAACATCTCAGAATTGCAAAAATAAGTTGCCATACTGCCTAAATTATTTTCTTGGTCCTATTTTAGAACTTTGTGCTTTTTGGGTTATATGTTGTACGGACATTGCATTTAAATTTGTTGTTGGCTTGTTGTTGGAGTGTTGGACATTTCACATTTGACAATTAATATGTTTGGTGCTATGTTTAATTTCTTTTTTGAACTAGTTTGCTGTTTAATTTTATTTATGAATTATGATTCGGATAATCGGATTCTCAGATTTGGTGTAAACGGATAATCGGATTTGGTGTAAACGGATAATTGGATTCTCGGATTTTAGAAAATTCGGATACTTAATCGGATGTTCGGTCGGATACGGATGTATCCGAATCCTAAAAAAATCCGACGGTTTCGGATTCGGATTTGAATGTCAGAACATCCGTCGGATTCGGATGCGGATCCGGATGCTGTTTTGGCTAAACGGATGCGGATACGGATGTTGTATATTCGAGGCGGATTTTATCCGTTTACAGCTCTAAATAGATTAAATATTATATTTATTTTTTCTTAAAATAACAACTAACTACTCAGCTGGTTTTTGGGTCGTTACATTAAAATAGACAAATCCATTATCGGATAGAGGTAGTAATTAAAGACGTTTTATAACATTTTTAAATGGGTATTGAATCAAGAGAAATTTAACTAAATAGGACTAAAACATAATGACTTTCCCAATATAGGACTATATATATATGTTTGTATTTCCCAATGTAGGACTTTTGGTCATTATCAAGTAGTCATTATTCAAGTAAATGTCCATTATATTACTGGGTATTATTCCTCCCACTAGGTCATTATTAAGTCCTAGTATCACACCCGTGCGTTGCACGGGTCATTTTCATGTTATTAAATTCAAATCATTTTTCAATGATAAAAAATGAGATGTAATAGAATATAGAGAGATTATATTATTTTAAGGTACAGAATATCAATATATTACAAATTTTGAAAGACTTCTTTATTGACTACATTATTTAGAGTCTTTGTGGGAGTATTGTCTTCATTGCATATCAGAATCTTCAATCCACTACGATTAGTTACTCTTGAAACTGCAACATATAGAGCTGTCCATGACTAAACACAGGTTTCCGTAACAGTAGTCCAACATGTTTCAAAGATTGTCCCTGGCTCTTGTTAATCGTCACTGCGTACGAAGTAACCACAGAGGAATTGTCTTCTTTAAACCTTGAAAGGAATTCTTGTATCGGACGGTGTTAATGATAGTCTTGGAATAACAACTTCTTCACCCATGTGGCTTCCTGATAATATATTTCCTTGTATTGAGTGATTAGCCAACCGGGTTACTATCAACCATGTACCATTACATAAACCCATTAAATAGTCAATATTTCTCAACAACATAATAGGCGTACCTACCTTCAGAGTTAATTCATGATTCGGTACACTGGAAGCACGAATCTTATTTAAGAATTCGGGAGAGTGTAGGTCACAAAAAAAAACTTGAATTGCAATCCTCGTTCTCAACTTTATCAGAACTAAGGTATGTTCGAGACTCGTTGCTTGGATTCATCGTTGTCATATATTCATTTGTGGAATCGACAACATCCAATGTAGGAGCCAAAATTGCGCGCTCCTGCAAGTAGCTCAGTTCATTGGCTACTTTTTGAAAGTCTGGACAAGTTGAATTCACTATAGTGGCTATTGGATCTTCAGAAGATGGAAGTAACATGTCATCAGGAATTAGCACCCCAGCATAGCCGTCTTGTTCATCACCTGCGTTCCCGTCACCAATACTCTCAATCCATTTGCTGAATTCAAATAATTAATCATAACTACTATCATACTATATGAATTTATGAATTTCGGTGTCCCTGTATTATTAATTGGTAATAATTAATTACCAATTTTAATTACTCACCTTTTTAATCATTTCCAATTTAAATTAATCACGATAGTATTATTATTATTTCTTTATATTTACGTTTGGTAAGTTTTCCATAAATAGGAATGAGTCAAAACCGTGTAACATTAATGACCCGTGCAAAAAGAATTATTATTTCTTTAAATTACTTACCTTTTTAATCACTGCCAATTTAAATTAATAACGTTAGTTTTATTATTATTGTTTAATCGTGTAACATTAATTGACATCAATTCCCATAATTAGGTTGGCCATTTTAACGTTATTATTTAATTTAATTATTTATTGTAATTGACTCATTACCATTTTAAGTGAGCAATTACCATTTTTTATTGCAATTCCAAATGGGCGGGATTAATAAAAGTAATAAAAGTAAGTTTACAATAAAGGTAAGTAGATTAATAATTACTTATTAAATTACTCACCTTTTTAATCATTTTTTAATTTAAATTAATCACGTTAGTATTATTATTTCTTTACAATCACATTTGGAAAGTTTTCCATAAATGGGAATGAGTCAAAACCGTGTAACATTAATGACCTGTGCAAAAGAATTATTATTTCTTTAAATTACTTACCTTTTTAATCACTTCCAATTTAAATTAATAACGTTAGTTTTATTATTATTGATATTTCCTTTTGTGAATTCGACTTAGGTTTCACATTAGTTTTAAATTAATAACGTGTAACATTAATTTCCAATTTAAGCGTGTAACATTAATTTCCATCAACTGCCATAATTAGGTTGGCTGTGTAAACATAATTACTTAATGTAATTATTATAATTTTAATTGAGTCATTACCATTTTAAGTGAACAATTACCATTTTTATTGGAACACCAAATGGGCAGGAAAACCAAATTGAGAATCCATGGCTTTTTAAATAAAATATGGATTTAGTGCAAATTTTACTTGAATCAATTCATTCCAATATTTCGAGATATCTTCAAATAACGAACTGAACTATTCAATCTGGTATCACTAAGAATTAAATCATTACTATACCGTACTATGCTCACCCCTAATAAAACACTCTCTTTCTCCTTATAATCTTCTTACTTTTTTAGATGTTCCAAATAAAACTCATTATCTCCTCTTAAAAATGATTGTAGTCATCGGTGTCGAAGGGACGAGCTCATTAGTGTCGAAGGGGTTAGCCCCCATAGTCGGGACACTGGGTAAGGGGATTTAGATGCTGACCACGCTAATTAAACTTCTCTGTAATTTTGGATTTTTTTATTTTTTGGTTTCTAATTTTAGTTTCCAATTTCGTTTTAGTATAATTTTTAAAAAAATAAATGAAATATTATAAAAGAAGTACTACCTACATTTAAGTATCTATTTAGTTTTAACTTTTTACAATCAAAATTGATGTATTTTACCATTAATTAAATAAGACTTAAAGTAGATTTTTTGAAGGAAAATTTAAATTAGATATTTAAACATGAATAATTCTTTTTGTATTTATCTTTGTAAAATAATTTCAAAATATTGTTTTATGTAATTAATATATCAAGTAATTTTTATTTAATTTTAAGTCAAATATCAGTTCTAGTTGACAACAAAACTCGGCAACGCACGTAGTATTTAATAACAAGAATTTAAAAAATGATTTGGGTCCACACCCTTAAATGTGGGTGAAATGACGATAAAATGAGAAAACCCGATGTGCCGCTGAATTGGAAATATGGTGAGATCCACACCGAAAAGCTTTAACATATACTCCATTCGTTCCTTTAAACCCTTCCATTTTTGACTTTGGCCAAAAATAAGGAAAGTATAATTTTGGTTGACTTTCCAATTTTGCTCCTGATGTGATGGGAAAAGTAAGATATGATAGTTTGGTTATTAGAGAAAAAGTATGATGTGATAGGTAGGGTATGAAAAAGTAAGGGTAAAAGTGGGTTTTAATAGAAAGTGGAAGTGTTTTAGGGAATTCAAAAAAAAAACGAAAGATGAAGGGTTTTGTTGAACAGAGTGAGTACTTTTTAACTTATTCTTTTAAATTACTACTCCCTCCGTTCCCAATTTGATTACAAATTGCGGGTTACGAGAAAAAATTTCATACTTTTTGAAATCATTTTATTTACAAATTGGTATATCAATAAGATATAAAAATTATATGTTAAAAAATCACGTCAAAAATTCTACAAAACAAGATGTGACAAGAATATTATATTATATTTTCTCAAATACTTAATAAAATCGCGTGAATAAACAAAAGTTATCTAGATGAGAAAAAAATTGTAATCAAATTAGGGACGGAAGGAGTATATTATTTAATTTTTTGGAATGAGATCGGATAAAAATAATCTTAAAATAGAAATACAATAAAATTAGATCAAAACGTATCAAATAATTACTCTCCATCACCAATTTGATTACAATTTTTTTCTCACTCCTATCGATAACTTTTGTTTGTTTACGCGATTTCATTAAGTATTTGATAAAATAAAATATTCTTGTCACTTCTTGTTTTATAGAATTTTGATATAGTTTTTAAATATGTAATTTTTATTGCTAATCGACATACCAATTTGTAAATAAAATAATTTTAAAAAATGGGACACTTTTCTTCGTAAATTCCAATTTTTAATCAAATTGAGGAGAGAGTGAGGAGAAAAGAATAAACCTAGAAAGTCACCCATTCCCCACGGGGTCTACAAGCATTAATTGTCAATAAACTTGCAATTTACTGACGGGCCTATGCGAGTGCGGGCGCACGAGCGTGTGGGTGCGCACGTACGGACTCCCTTTTATTTCTATTTATGCATCGCCAGGAGCCCATACTCTCTTTCATCCCCGTTTCCTTCCATTTATTCCACTCTGTATCTCCACCGATCTCACTCCCTCCCTTCCTCGCCGCAGATGGATGTTACTTCGCCTCCGATCCCTTCCTTAGACTTTGACAAGCTTAGAGCGATCAAAGTACTGGGCAAAGGCGCCATGGGAACCGTCTTTCTCGTCTACAATACTTCCACGGACCCCACCGCTCTCTCCCCCTTCGCTCTCAAGGCCGTCGACAAGTCCTTTTCCACCGACGACGAGCGCCGCCGTGCTCGCTGGGAGATTTCTGTCCTTTCCCGTTTCCGCCTCCACGACCCGCCCCACCCGTTCCTCCCCTCTCTCATCGGCTCCTTCGACGACGACCTTCTCTGCTGGGCGGTGCCGTACTGCCCCGGCGGCGACCTCAACGTCCTCCGTCACCGTCAGAACGACAGCGTCTTTTCCCCCTCCGTCATCCGATTTTACCTGGCGGAAATCATCCTCGCCCTCGAGCATCTCCACGGATTGGGTATTGTGTATCGCGATTTGAAGCCTGAAAATATCCTCATTCAGCAGTCCGGTCACGTGACCCTAACCGATTTCGATCTTTCCCGAAGCTTGACTCCTACAATTCTCGACCCGGTCCACGTTTGCTCGGATCCTGAACCAGAAACCCACCTATACAACAGATCCTCCACGCGCTTCGTCCTCAAGGGGAGAGGGACGAGGAAAGGGACGGTGAGCGCACGCGTTTCGCCGGTGAGCAGGAGGAGCCCGGGTTCTTTCTACGAACGCTCGAATTCCTTTGTGGGCACGAACGAGTACATGGCGCCGGAGGTTTTGCGCGGGGACGGCCATGAATTCGCCGTCGACTGGTGGGCCCTCGGAGTGCTCTGCTACGAGATGTTGTACGGAAGGACTCCGTTCCGGGGGAAGCACAGAAAGGACACTTTCCGGAGAATACTGGTGATGCAGCCTGGGTTCGTGGGGAAGCCGAACGCCTTGACGGACTTGATCGGGAAACTGCTGGATAAGGACCCCACGCGCCGGTTGGGGTACTGGAGAGGCGCTTCCGAGATCAAGGAACACGACTTCTTCCGGGGACTGAGATGGGATTTATTGACGGAAGTTGGACGTCCGCCGTTTCTGCCGTCAAATGATGAGACGGAGATTAGTGGGAAATGCGGGATCGATATCCGGGATTACTTCGAGAGGCTGAAGGCTCCGTCGTCGCCCTTGTGGTCGCCGTCACCCGATAACCGATGACATAACGTGTGGCTAACGGAGTTTTAACGAACGCGTTTGTTACTAATGGTATAATGTAAATAGTACCCCGAATAAATGAAGACGTGATGAGCGGCATTGTTTAAGAGAGCTGTTAATCATTTTAGGAACATAATCATTAAGTAGGCTCATATGGTGTTTTTGGCCGTTTACTTACTTTTTAGTTTACACTTAGCAATTTTTTTATACTCCGTATTTCCTCCCAACAAATTCCGACTATAAGTTAAGGAACAATTTACGAGATAAAACAAAAAATTACCCTAAATCATTTTGTATGGAAAATTGAAATTAGAGAAGAGTATAAACACTGTGACCGAAAAGATTGACCGAGACCAACTAGGATTTGGACTTAAAAAATTGGGACCGAGATAGTCCTTGAGACTAGTCTAGTCCAAGATCAGTAGTCTCAAATGTTTCTTAATATTTATAAAGGACTAGGACTAGTCTAAGACTAGTAAAAGACATGTTAAGGACCTAAACCGGTCCGAGACTAGTAAAAGATTAGTCTAAAGACTAGGATTAGTCCAAAAAACTAGTCCTCTAGAGTCTAATTATATTACTTGTAAATTATGGAGTATATAGGGAGTAGTATATATGGAGTAGTACGTATAAAAAACTTAAAAAAATAATATAGAGTAATACAAATTAGAAATGATTAATACTTCTCGGTAGGGGTGTATACGAATCGAATCGAAGCAAATATATCACTATTCGATTCGTATTCGATTAAAGTGATATGTATTCGAATTCGGATTCGTATATAATTCGAATTTTAAAAAACATTCGTATTCGATTCGATAGATATTTGACATATTTGAATTCGTATTCGAATATTCGAATTTGAAAATATTAGTAATTTTTTTCTTAAAACAAATTTCTTAAAGACATTAAATTATTATTTTATAATAATGTAAAATGTAGTAAAAATTAAAATGTAGTAAAAATATGTTAGAAAATATATAAATTTATTTATAAATTATAATATTCGAATATATATAAATTTATATGTACACAAATATTTAATATATTAGAATATATAGAAATTTATTTATAAATTATAATATTCAAATAATTTGAATAATAAACGAATCGAATCTATTAATATTTGTATTCGAATTCGAAAATAATTCGAATATAAAATATGATTTGTATTCGGATTCGAATTCGAATATAGCGAATACGAATCATCTTTTTCGAATACGAATCACGAATCGAATACATTTTATTTGATTTGTATGCACCCCTACTTCTCGGCTTCCCCAATCCCCTAAGTATTTTCTTAGAGTTTCAAGATAAACTCAAACATCACAACACTCTGTTCTAGAGGAGTAGAGCTAGTCCCTAGAGATGTCTCTAGAGAATCAGCGATTGAGCGAGCAAAGTGCAACATGCAATCTCGACCGATGCGAAAAGAGTTGATGGACTATTTCTTAACCCTGACACAACATCGCAAACTGCAATCTCGGCCCAATATATTAGGACTAGAGACCGGACCGGATTGGACTACGGACCGGACTAGATTGGACTATTGGTCTTATTTGGTCTTTGATTTTGATAAGAAGACCGGACTAGTTAGGACTGAGTTTTTAAAAAGACTAGTCCGGTCCAATCCTTTACTGTAGTCGTCTTTTCCAAACACCGGTCTAGTCTGACCGCATCGGTCCGTTTGCTCATCTCTAATTGATATGAAAATAATTAAAAACTCAAAGCTACATATGGAAAAATTAAAGAAATTTATACACTAAGAAGTGAGACTCTATATTACTCCATCTCTCCCAAATTAAGTTGTACATTTACTATTTATAGCTCAAATTTTATTTACTTTATTTTTTATTTTTGTTACTTATTTAATAAAATAATATAGTCATGTCGCATTTCGTTTTGTAAATTTTTTCATGCATTTTATAAATGAGAAATACTACTTCTACCATAATGGTGTACCCCAACTTGTACTCCAAAGATTCACACTTATACTTTGATGGTTTACATTGACACAGAATGTTACTGCGAAATTTTACAATCGTAATGACATTGTCAGAGTAAATCATAAAAGTGTAAGTGTAACTCTCTGGGGCACAAGTTGGAGTACCAACCTCGGGGTAGTATTTTTTAATTCTATCTATTTTTTCAAGTAAATAATGGTATTGGAAAAAGCTCTAGTTAAATATCGTAAATAAAAAAAAATTCCTTAAATTGGGACAGAGAGAGTATTTTATTAAATAATCAATAGAAATAAATCAGTCATGTTCCAAAATAAAAAAAAAGTAGTTACTATTCTAATTAAGGTCAAATTTATTCATTTTATTTACTTATTATGTTACTCATTTGATAAAATAAAATAGTTTTGTCTTCTCTTGTTTTAAAGTGTAATTTTTAAAGAGAAATGTTAAAGCCACAACCTAAATGGTCCAATACTAAAAAACTTACTATTTGTGAATAAAAAATTTCACTTTTAAATTATTTAAATCTATTTTGTGCTCTTAATGAAGTCCAAAAAGGGTAAGTTTGTGAACTTTTGATTATGTAGTTTTTTGCACTAGAATTTCTCTTAAATACATAATTTTATTTTTATTTCTATACCAATTTTAAAATAAATTAAATTTAAAAAAATAGTTAAATATCATAAACCAAAATTATCCCTCTATCAATCTTCTCCAAAAATCAATACTTTTGAGAGTATAGAAAATATTTCTCGAGTGCAAATACTTTGTCATCCATTAGAGCTTACATCTCTAAACATAAACTTGCTCAAAATGATGATTTATTTATCAAGTGTTGTTTTTGCGTTCTTGCAAACTTAAAGTTTGATCTTTAACTTTGAGTTGCTAAGATATGTGTAACTCAAGTCGTATTGTAAAGTGTTGAAGCTTGTGAGATTCAAATCTGAAGTTGTAAAAGGCTTTTCAAGCACTCGTTGAAACTTGAAAGTTAGTACGACCTTTGAGAGAATCTCCCAGAAAACTAGATTAGCCACGAGGTGGTGAACTAGTATATATTGCGGTGTCACTCTTCCTCTCTACTCTTTACTTTCCTGCTATGTTTTATTTTTTCGATTACACACACGCGAAAAACACTTATTCTAGACTCCAACTCTATTCACCCCTTTAGAGTTGTGCACGTTGACTAACAGTATTTGCATGTGACTTGTACTATGTGAATAAATTTACTTTCAATATTTCTCTCTTTTATTTCGTTTCAAGAAGACTTTCATAAACCTATCCAAACCTTCGCCTAGTTAGATAAATTAGGTAATTCACCTCGTCCACTCCTCGAGAGACACGACACTCGGAGAGAAAACTAACCCTTTACTGGGAAGGTTTGCTACCCAGAAAACTACAATTTATCAGAAAAATTCCCAAAAATGATGCATAAGTTAACAAAAGAAGATGTAAAATGATCGTGCACCCTTAATCAGAATCCTATTTTCATCAGAAGAATATACGAATGTTTGGAAAACAACGGAACTTAAAAATTATTCAGTCTATGAAATGGAAGAACTTTGATGAAGACATTTACACTAAAAGGAAGTATGATGAATACTTGTTTGTGAGTAGCTCCCATACCCATCAGTCTATTATCTATAATCTAATAATCTCAACCTTTTAAGTGTATGAGTAGGAGATGTGGAAAAGATTGGGGCATCTTTCTTGCCACCACACCAACATGCTTCGACTCTGTAATAATTATTTGGTTGTTACTGAATTCCTTGCTCCTTGTTTGGCTACATCCACTCTGAAATAATTATTTGATTTTTACTCAATTCCTTACTCCTTGTTTGGCTACATCCACCTCTTTTTAATATACTAAATGAACACGTTTATATGCTTAGAAAAGGGAAAGAATGAAGCGAAAGGACAAAGTTATCGATTTCTTATAAATGGAGTAGATTTGGTAAAATAAGAAGTTGATTTAGTACTATCTTAATTATTTTATTGATGAAAAGGTTAGTCTAACTAACTCAATTAGACTAGATCACTAGACTATCATTCATAATAACTATACTCCATATAGAAAATAGGTAATCTACTAAATGACAAAATAAAATAACCGTAATAGTAACTAATTTTTAGGCACTACCAAATGAGAAACAAATTAATTTTACGCAAACTCTCAATTTAATTCATTGCCTAGACATGTTTTTTAGGTAATAGTCACTCAAATTAGGTAAAACATACGTAGTATAGATTAATAATTTACTCGCCTAAAGTGGCAATATTGTAAGTTATTCGGGAGTATACTATAAAATAGGGGTGAATGTGGTACAGTATGGTACAGTATTTTGTTCGTATCAATATCGTACAAAATATTTCGATTCGATATGGTATTCTACATCGTACCGATTCAGATCCCAAAGTTTCGGTTTGGTATTGTTCGGGATGGTTCAATTTCAATTTCGGTAAATATTGGGATGAATATATATACGTATCTAGTTTACACTTTGAAATTTACAAAATTTTTATTTTAAAGGAATCAAAAGTGTTAAAGAGTATCCTACATCGAAAAAGTGTGAGAAAATTAATCGGTATATAAGCTCTTGAATTGAACTAACTAATCGATTGGATTCAATCTTTTAATGTGGTTCAGCCCAAGTGTCTTATTACCCAATCTAGTTGTCCATACCCCATCCCAAATTCTATCATGGTATCAGAGCAGGTTTTGGCCCACCTCGTTTGTCAAGGTATCCGTCTAGACGTTCATTCCTAGCAGCCCGTTTGTCTTTAGCCCAGTGTTCCGTATGGAGTATGTACCGATCCAACGGCCTGTGGCCCGTTTAACACGATTGCTCTTCTGGAAGTCCATACCCAGCGGCTCGTGATCCTTTAGGTGTTGGCGCTCAAAAAAAATGTCAAGGGAATGGGAGTTCATTTGGAAGTGGTCAACCGATTAGATTCAAAATGGCCCGATTGTCCACTTGAGGGGGAGTGTTAAAGAGTATCCCTAATCGGAAAAGTGTGAGGAAATTAATCGGTATATAAGCTCTTGAATTGAATTAACTAATTGATTGGATTCAATCTTTTAATATTGTTCAACTCAAGTGTCTTATTACCCAATCAAGTGATTCCTACCCCATCATAAATTCTATCAAAAAGTACATTCAAATAAAAAAGGATAAATAATTGAGAAATGAATAATTAAATGTAAAAGGTGCTTATAAAACTTAGTTTAATTTATACTTCATATTTCAGAAACAAAAGAGAATGAATGATAACAAAATAGGATTTCAAATATTTGTTATTTTATTATATTCATGTACAAAAAATTAAAATTTAAATAAATGATTATATAAATAAAAGAATATTTGCAATTCATCTACTCTTGAACCAACCTTTCAAAATCAATTTATTTTTTAATGAAGAAATATAAAAACATTTTTGTTTTTATATATACTCGTTTTAGGATTTTTCGGTATGTGAAATCACCGCGTACCGATCCCAAATATCAGAATCTATTCGCTTAGGTACGGTATGGTTCTTTTACGTATTTTATCAGTTCGGTATTTTTTGATTTGATAATCTCCGTTTTTTCGACAAATTTCGAGATCGGTTCCATACTTCATCATCCTTACTACAAAACTTTTTTTCCCATAAATTAAAATTTGAACAAAACCTAATAATCAACACTTCAAATAAGTACCGAAGAACGAAAAATCCATTAAGACAACACAATTATCACAGTTCGTCACTTTTATAGACAATAAGAAAATAAAGTAACACTTCAACATTTAATTTTTTTGAAGGGATTTATATTTTAATTTTAATTTAAGCAAACCTGTAGAAATTGGACTAAAAGCCAAAAAAAGTAGAAATTGGACTACTGGGGCGCAGGCAAACTGGACTGAGGACGAGGTGGCGGCGAGTGGCGGTCAAGGACGGCTAAGGAAGGACAATCGGATTCAGAATCACGGATGTGAGCTGCGGCGGGGGCGATCTACTGAGCGCTGAAGACTAAAAACCTATCCCTAGACGCTAGTGACGAATTTCGGAAATCGGATAAGTCACATCAACGCCGCTCGGGGGCACCAAACTGGACAATTAGATGCGCGGTCACCTACGCCGGTCAATAAAGCTCGTCTCCGGTACGTCGCCGGGGGGGGGGGGTGGGACGTACTGGGGCAGCCCCCTCCCCTCCTTCGATCCTTCGCCAATAATAGTCTAATTACAGTTAGTTTATTTTAAAATTAATATCTAATAACTGAGTAATTGTATTCTTGAGTAATTATACTTTTTTAAGTATATAATTTACTAATTAAATATGAAATAATTTTTTTTTCTGCTTTTTTTTTAAATCTCAATTTGTATGCCGGTTTTTTGTTTTCTACTCTGGATCTTTCTATATTCAGTCCCACCACTTAAATAATATATACTGAGTAGTTTTCTACGGAGTACTGTTCTGCATTTTCTTTAGAATATCAACTTCTTATCCAGTTAATTTGAATTGAACATATGAGTTTTGATTAAGTTGTTTTGGTACTAGCACTTTTGAACTTGTTTAGCTGTGTTTTTGTTAAGGATAAGATACTTTAAATCAAGTAGTCCTATATTGTTGATGTAACAATGACCTATATTTGTAAGTCTGGTGGTCTAGTTTTGTGTCATATGGCGACGCCATAAATGCACCATTGCTATCGCCGCAGGAAACTGGAATGTCGCCATTAGGAATTAGCCATGACAACTATGCTACTTCCATATTCCGTGTGATGGTCATTGTAGCATAGCATTACTTTATCCTTGATAGCCCAATTTAAAGCTGGCACATCTCTACTCATATGATAGTAATTTTTAAATCTTTCAACTCAATTTATTATTTAAAGTATAGATTCATAGTTTGTGGACGTAGATCCATATGCAAAAGGGGTTAGTATACTTGAACTGACTTATTACAGTTTGAATTTCTACATTTCTAGTGTAGTGTGGAAAACTTTTTGTTTTCCAATCAACTTGATCATTGACTCATTTTAAATAACATTCATTTTTTCAATGTTCGTAACGATTTCATTTTATACTTTTTTTTGTAGGCTAGAAGTATCTGAGGGTGATCACAACTTTTTGGATTATTGCAATAGTAAGAATTCAAAATAAGGGTGCTTCTAGGTGGTGATTTGAGTGAAAGTCCACCTGCATTGTGAAACAGATACATGTGATTCACATTATTTAAACAAGGAGATCATGAGGATCTCAAGATTTCCGGTGCGCTATCTTATTGTTTTGTTGACCTTCATTTGTACGTCGGTCTGCTACATAGAGCGTGTCGGTTTTTCTATTGCCTATACTGTTGCTGCTGATGCTGTTGGTGTGAATCAGGCAAGTAAGGGCATGATTCTTTCAGCATTTTACTATGGATATGCCTGCTCGCAGGTGCCCGGTGGTTGGGCAGCCCAGAAAATTGGGGGAAGGCGTGTTCTTCTCTTTTCGTTTGTTTTGTGGTCCCTAACTTGTGCATTGGTGCCCCTTGATCCGAACCGAGAATTAGTTTTAGTCATTGCCCGCTTGCTTGTTGGTGTGGCCCAGGGCTTCATATTTCCTTCCATTCACACTGTCCTAGCACAATGGGTACCCCCACATGAAAGGTCTAGGTCTGTTTCTCTTACCACTTCCGGAATGTATCTAGGTGCAGCTATGGGAATGCTTGTGCTTCCTAGCCTTGTGAAGTTCAGAGGCCCTCAATCTGTATTTTTGGCTGAAGCTGCTTTAGGTGGCATGTGGTCCCTACTATGGTTAAGGTTTTCTAGTGATCCACCACATTCTGCTCATACCAAAGCAACTGCTGCTGGCTATGGGGAAACCTTGCTACCCCTCAAAGGGAGCGTGAAGCTGAAAGCAGAGAATGGGGGAGGGTATCCCATCAAGAGTCCCAAAATCCCATGGAAGCAAATTGTACTTAGCCTTCCAGTTTGGGCGATTGTTGTGAACAACTTCACATTTCATTATGCTCTCTATGTGCTCATGAACTGGCTCCCTACGTATTTTGAATTGGGCCTCCAACTCAGCCTTCAAGAAATGGGCTCTTCTAAGATGATGCCTTATTTTAATATGTTTTTGTTCTCAAACATTGGTGGGGTGGCTGCTGATCACTTAATTACTAGAAGAATCTTCTCTGTAACCAAAACGAGAAAACTTTTGAACACACTAGGTTTTTTTGTGGCTTCTTTTGCGTTGATGGCTCTTCCTCAGTTTCGGACGCCTAGTGGGGCATTGTTTTGTTCTTCGGTGGCTCTCGGTTTCTTGGCTTTAGGAAGAGCAGGATTTGCAATTAATCACATGGATATTGCTCCTAGGTATGCTGGGATTCTTATGGGTGTTTCTAATACAGCCGGCACATTGGCAGGTATTGTTGGAGTAGATCTTACAGGACGACTACTTGAATCTGCTAAAAGTTCTCAACTAGATCTTACAAGCTCAGAAAGCTGGGTGGCTGTTTTTACAATTCCTGGGTTTCTTTGCATCTTCAGTGCTTTAGTGTTTCTGTTATTTTCTACCGGAGAGCGAGTTTTTGACTGAGAGATCCTTTTCGATTCATATTTGCTGGCCTCGGGGAGAACTATGAAGGTGCGCTCTGTTCCTTAAATTTCGTCTACAGCCTAGTAATGAGCTCGTTGTTTTAGGCAATTGAATGCTATAGAAGCTTTGGAAACAACAGTAATTTGTTAGATATCTTGATCCATCCATGGTTGAGTTTTGACTATTCAGCCGAAGTTTGGAGATTGGATAAGATCATTGCGTTGGCATTCTCTTTATAGATAATTGGATATACTTTACTTCCCAAGAAAAACTTCTACTGTATGATGGATGTATGGTCTATGGCATCGACGGCCCTTGTAATAGTTATTGTAGTGGTTGGTTTTGGATGATGTGATTTGTGGCAAATACTCAGCCTGTCGTTCGAGGCTGAGTATTTATGGAGTATTACTCTCTTCGTCTCAATTTAAATCGTCTCTGTTTGTTTCTGAAGTTTGAATGGAATTATTTTTAATTTTTTTATTTAAAAATTTGTGTAGAATTAAAAAATAAAATTTATATATTTAAAAATTACATAAAATTCCTAAAAAATTAAAAGTGACATGTTTTTATTTTTTTTATCAAATTAATAATAAAAATGGTTAAAGAAAGTTGTTACAATTTGACCACGTCAATTGTAAATAGACAAATTAAATCAGGACCGAGTATATTTGTTGCTCCACACCCATGTACTAATGTTGTGAGCATCAATGAGCCAACCACATAATTACTCTCTCATTGTGTCTATTAATTTCTTTCTTACATTCCTTTTGGGGTCGTCTAATAATTTCTTTCTTGTTTTTCATTTTAGCAAAAAACGTTTAATGAATGTTCCATTATAACTCTATTTTTTTTCTACACCACACTTTATTTTATCACATTAAAGGCAACACATGAATTTTTTTATAGTTTTTAAATTTTTTAATGTCCATGTCAAGTCACACCCGGAAATACACTTTTGGACGAAAGAAGTATTATTTTTAAAGTTTAGGTGCACCCTAATAATCAATGGGTCTAGTTGTGCTGCCATTGTTAGTGTTAACAACCAAGGTAAAACTGCGGGTTTGTATTTGAAGTGCGAGTTTGTATTTGAGGGTTGGGTTAGGGAGTCTTTGGGGATGTAGTAGATTAGGGGTGAGCATCGGTTCGATTCGGTCGGTTTCGGGTAAAAACCAAACTAACCGAAACTTTTTTGGGTATAAAAAAACCGATCGAAACCGAACCGGTAAATTTGAATAACCGACAAACCGAAACCGATTAAACCGAATCGGGTTCGGTCGGTTATTAAAAACCGAATTGCACAGCACCCAAAACAAAAAAATATAACTGTGAACCTTCATGGTAAAAGATAATTAGCGAATGAATGAAGAACAATTTCGTAGCAATTCGCATATGGGAAACCGGGTAGACGAGAGTGGGGGCGTGGGGCTTCTTTTTCCATATCAACATAGTGTAATTATGAATAAATTAAATGCCAAAGAAAAGTGATAAAAATTCAGCCCATTTTGCAAAAGAAACGACAGCAAAACCTTACTCTATTGGTCAACAAAGAAGAAGGGAAGAACAAACAGTCAAAGAGGATCCATAGCGTCGTCTTGGACTCTCAAAGGAGAAGGCAGAATCGGCTAAATCGTCTTGGACTCTCAATCGGAACTGCAGAAGGATGAAATCCCAAATCCCAAACGCATGGTGAGGAGTAGTGGAGTACGCCGTCATCAACTCCAAATTGGTTTAGTTTTTTTCTCGTGCCTCGCACGGGCTCGTAGATTTTCACGTAAAATATATTTTTAAATTTGCTATGGAGTATTATTTTAAAAAATAAAACAAAAATGAATAAATAAGTAAACTTTATGAAAATTCTCGGGTTGCATCACCAAAGATGAAGCATGTACTTCGTATATTTTATAGAAGCATAGTATTCATATATATTGGGAATTGTAATTGAACCCCAAACTATAGTGAAAAGAGTTACAGAATATATATAGATCTAACTATAAGACAAATTACATAATGACCCAGAATTAATATAAATTATATATTGTGTCTAACATCCCCCTCAAGCTGAGTCTGGCAGAAGCTAGAGGAAGCTTGGATATCAATGTCTGGAAGCGTTGAGAGGTTAATGGCTTTGTCAAAAAATCGGCAAGTTGATCTTCAGAGGGAACATGCTGAACAACCATAGAACCATCAATAACCTGTTCACGAACAAAGTGACAATCCGTGCCAACATGCTTCATACGTTTATGAAAAACCGGATTCTTTGTTAGGCAAATGGCAGACTGGTTATCACAGAATAGGACAGGTGGCGGTGTGGCAATATGTAAATCAGTCAAAATATAAGTCAACCACATAACCTCAGATGCTGCCGCCGATAGTGCCCTATATTCTGCCTCAGTCGACGACTTTGAGACACGTGTCTGTTTCTCGGTACTCCAAGACACTAAATTATTTCCAAGATAGATAAGATAGCCTGTGGTGGAGCGGCTATCAACAGGATCATTCGCCCAGTCAGAGTCAGAATAA